CCTCCAGGGCAGGCGGGAATCGAACTCATGCGGAAGTGGCTTAAGCTTCTCAGTGCTGTGCTTTAACCCGCTGCGCCACCAGGGAGGGCCCTTAAATTATTTTTTAAAAGAATTTATTTATACATACAGAACTGGGGTACAGGCCAGAGGTGCAGGGGCAGTGAGAGGATTCGCCAGAGAAAGAGTGGGGAGCAGAACAGATGGACTGATGAAGTACACTGCTGAGGGGAGCAGGCAGTGGGTGGGTTAGGAGAGGTCTGCCACCCCATGTGGGCCATCTCTCTGGCTGGGGATCAAACTCATGCTGAAGTGGCTTTAGCTTCTTAGTGCTGTGCTTTTACCTGCTGTGCCACTAGGGAGGGCCCAGACCTAGATACTTTTAAGACTGAAATCTGACTTAGGCCTAGTAATAATCTTCATGGTCTTATCATGTTCCCCTGAGGTCTACTCCCTCAGGCTTGGTAAGAACTAAGTAATATAGACACAAAATGAAATGGCTGGCATGGGACAGTTCCCAGAGAACACAAGACAACTCCATGTTGGTTTTTTCCTTTGATTTGTACAGGATACCATTTTATTTTTTATTTCTACTTTTTAAATATTTTTATTTTTTTTACATCATTCTTCATTTTGTGCATTTTCTATCTCAGTTGTAATCCCCATGGGCTTTCTACCACCAATTCACCCGTGTGCCATCACCACAGTCCAGTACATTCTTCCCACCCCAGTTCTGATCCCATTCCCCCGTCCACTCCCATAAAATGTTTCTGGCTTACAGTTGTTCATTGTTTTCATTTTTATGCTATTACATTTATTTGTCTTTCTCTTTTCCCCCGCTGATCCAACTCCATGTTTATACCCAGGAAAAGGTTTTACAAGGTGGGAACTTACCACATCAACTCCACTGATCATAATATCAAATGTCAAGTCTAACATGTTAAGAGAAAGTCAGGGAGAAAGGCCGATAGCTACCACGCACACTCATAGGAGGAGGGAACTTCCAGGAGAGAAGCATGTGAGAGGAGAGGTTTCCCAAAGATCTGAGTGGCAGGAGGAAACTGTCATGTAGTCATGTGCTTTTTTTTTTAATTTATTTTTTATTTTTATTTTTTTAAAGATTTAT